GGGGCTTGGGCTGGACACCGGGAGGAAATGTTGTCCCCTGAGGGTGCTGAGGCACTGGCACAGGCTGCCCCCAGCAGCTGGGGATGCTCCAGCCTGGGGAGGGTTCAAGCCCAGCTTGGATGGGGCTTTGAGGAACCGGATCCTGGGGGAGATGTCCCTGGCCCTGGCGGGGGGGCTGGACTGGATCAGCTTTGAAGGCCCCTTCCAACCCAGACCACCCCGTGAGTCCATGGTCCTATGAAACTCGATTTCTGGCATACTGGGGAAAGGGTTCCTTCAGGAGATCGAAGCGTTTGGGTGGAGGATGCGTGTGATGCTCTGTGCGGACCTTCCTGGAACACCTTCAGGGGTGTTTGCTGTGTCAGGCCCCAGAGCGGTGCTGACATGGCGGTGCCCTTCCCCTCGGTGGCAGCAGCCAACACTGGAGGGTCAGCAAGTTCAGCTGGATCCTTCTCAGGTGTAATTCCAGTTTTTTTCTGGCGTTTTTCCTGGAGAATGGCAAGCAGCCAAATGAGGTGAGGGTGCTTGCAAGTGCAAGGTCTGGCAGCTCTGCAGGCAGCCCCTCGGTTTGGGGCGGGAAGTCATTGCCTGCTCGGGGGAGCCCTCCAGTGTGGGAAGGAAAAGTGGGACCATGCCTCTGGAGTGGGGGCAATTACCTGGGACATTCCCTGGCGCCCTGGCCCAGCCCTGGCCCCTGGGCTCTCCCCAACCTGTGCCCGCACTCCCTGCCAGGGATGGCTCAGGGTTCAGGGGTGATCACCGCAGGTCCGTCCTGCGCACATGCCAGGCCCGGCACATCCCGGCAGCGTGGCAAAGCTGGGCAGGGCTCGACGCACACCACTGTTGTGGGCTCGGCTCTGGGTTGCTTGGGTATGGGCTGTGGTGTGGCGCAGGGGGGGGCTGCCAGCCATGACCCACGGGTCTGCTGCCAACCCAGGGTGTCCTCTGGGAGCTGAAGGTGATGCTTGGGCTGGGCTTAGGCAAGGGGTGCGTCTGGTCCACGCCACGGGGGCTGTGTCACCTGCTGCCACTTGCCCCCTCCTTGCATTTTGTCACATTCCTCGGAGCAGCTTTTGGGCTATAAATGCTTTTTGAGCTCAGCCCCTGGCCTGGGGCCGGCAGGTCTCTCCCTCTGCAGGACTCCCACCCCCTCTCTCTTCCTCTCCCCTCTGCAGCACTCAACGCTGTCCCGCAAGTTCGTGGAGGTGATGTCTGAATACAACGCCACGCAGACTGACTACCGGGAGCGCTGCAAGGGCCGGATTCAGAGGCAGCTGGAGATCAGTGAGTGAACCTGGAGGGGGAACACAGCTGGGCTGTGCCTGCCGTGGGGCCACATCCTGCACCTGCGCTCGCCACATCAGAGCTGCTCTGCATCTGTGCCGAGCTCCCTCCCGAAAACCCGGGGGTGCAGGAGGGCTGCGTGCGCCTGTGGGAGTGAGCGGGACACAGCTCCTGCTGGGGATGGGCAAGTGGTGGTACCACGCATTTTGGAATCAGACTGCAGCCAGCAAAGCGCAAAAACTCCCCCCAGGTTTTCTGAAATGCTGTGTAGAGATCACAGGGAGCACGGGGAGAGGGATTTCTTCCTTGTTTGCAGCTAATTTTGAGTCCAGATAATCCAGTGGGAATTCCTAACTCCCATGTGGTGCCTTGCCTTTCCTCTGGGTGCTTTTCATCATGGGGGAACTGAGCTAAATATGAAACCCGAGAAACGAGCACTTGAGATGGGGCCATTTGCAGCTCCCAGCAGCTTCCCTGGCTGCAGGAGGAGCACGAGCCTCGGTTCCAGCCATGGGCATCTCCCGGAACCCAGGGCTGGGATGGCTCTTAGCAGCCGTAGTGGTGTCTCCTGGCTGAAGGTGGGCCCCAGGGGACACCTCTGAGGCTGTCACCACTGTGGCACTGAGATCCCCCTGCATCATCCTGAGCCCATTGCTTAGGAGGAGTCTGGCCCTGCCCGTCCACAAAGCCTGCTCTCCTGGGGATTCTGCTGGGCAGTCAGTGGTACCGGTTAACTTTAAAGAGATGTGGTCATCTCCCAGTGAAGCCAAATCATACCACTGCCGTAACTGGGGGAAGGAGCAAGCAAGGAAGAAGCCAGGGCAAGCGGAGATGAAAAGAGCTTTTTGCAAATAATCTCCTTGTCAGAGCATCGTGGGGGTTTGTGCTCAAGGGGAAAGCGTCTGAAGCCTAGT